CAGAAGCGCTATTGGCGCGGGCACTGGACCGGGACGGTCAATGTGCTGGATATCGGAGTATCCGAGCTGTCAAGCACTTAAGGTGTTTTGGACAAGAGTCACGAGCGTGGCTAGCGGGCTGAACGTGAAGTGGCACGTAACCCTTTGAACGCTGCTCAAGTATTGGAGCAGTCGCTGCATGCTAATAGTGGCATGGTCGGCCAAGGGCCGAGGCATCAAGAACGAGGACCCCGTGATGCACGTGGAGTGGCACGTAACCCAGAGCGCTGCTCACGTTACGAAGCAGTTACTGCGTGCCAAGAATGGCATGGTCGGACGAGGTTTAAGGCATCAAGGACGAGGCCCTTGTGATGCGCGTGGAGTGGCACGTATTCCAATGAGCACTGCTCATTTTTCGAAGCAGTTGCTGCATGCCAACAGTGGCATGGTCGGACGAGGTCTGAGGCATCCTGGGCAAGGTCCATCTGATGCGCGTGGATTGGCACATTATCCACTGGACGAAGACTGCGAAAATGGCATTTCTTCGTCGGATGCGATTATTAACATCAAGGCTCCGATGGAGCAAGGAGTGGGGACACGGGACGACGCCAAGTACGTGTTCCGATGGTCCCGATGAGACGTAAAACTTCTATAAAGAGGAGAGGGTGAAGCCCATGATATCTGCAAGACGCAAGGGTCGACTATGACCCAGGGTGTGTGTCTACCGTACGCGATAGCATACAGCTATATCCTCTTGTCAACGGTATGACGGGAGATGAAGACGGCGACGTCACCCTCAAGGCTATATAGCCGGAGGATGCCCTTCTTGAGCTGGACGAAATGTCCTTCGAAGAGTTTGGCGGTGCCTTGAAGGCAGGTATTTAGCCGAGGTGGTCAATATAAGACCGAAAGAAGGGATTAACTTCTGGATAAAGCTGTCCTGGTGGACAATAAGAGGGTGCTGAACGCACAAAGCGAATCGTAAATCGTGATGGATGTTTCGGATCCGCATTTTTCTTTGGTAAAGAAATTTCAAGACGTCATCTCCAAAAGCCCGCCGTCGGTCCTACTTCCGGATCGAGATGTGCGTCATGAGAGGGACCTGGTTCCGGAAACCAAATACTGCGTAATACGTCAATGCCCGTAGCCCAAGGAGCAGTGTGACGTCATTGACCCGGAAGTTGAACTGCACGTGGCGTATCGCTCACGCTTATAATAAGCGTATCTCTACCACCATTCCGACACAGACGCCGAATCCTAGGAAGGGAGTTCTCCGGAACAAGATGGCTCGCTGTCCAAAGTACAGTGCACTCGATTTGATCGATAGTTATTACCAATTTCTCGTGAGAGCGAGTGATTGTCCGCTGACAGCGGTGAGTACTCCGAGTGGGATGCTCAGGGAGTGTCTGGTGATGCTCCAAGGGCTGCCAAACGCACCAGCAACATTTAATCGTCTTGTTAAGCAATTGTTCAGACACCACCGGGCGTTTGCAGAAACACACTTTGACGTATTCTTCGTCCACGGTCGGGAGGACAGATGAGGAAAATCGCATCGTCCATTTAAGAGCGGTGCTCGAGTGCATGCGCACGAATAAGCTGTGTGCTTTTGCCGATAAGTGTATCTTCGGCACGGTCGGGAGAACAGACGAGGAAAACCGCATCGTCAATTTGAGAGCGGTGCTCGAGTGCATGCGCACGAATAAGCTGTATGCTAATGCCGATAAGTACATCTTCGGCACGAACGAAATTCCCTTCTTAGGGTGCTTTATTGGAAAGCGTGGCCTTCGAGCGGATCCCGCTTAGTTCAAGGCGATTGTGGATTGACCTGATCCAAAGAAACAAAAGGACTCGCGCAAGTGGCTTGACATCGCCAACTACTTGCACAAGTATTGCGCAAATTGTGCGGAAGTGGCACAGCCATTGTCGAGTCTCCTTAAGAAGGATACAAAATGGTGTTGGGACACCGAACATCGGGCAGGGTCAAAGATAGCCTACTTCATGCACCAATAGTGGCGTTGTTAGACCTCGATCGTCCTTTTAGTGTCGTCTGCGACGCTTCGGACTAAGCCATCGGCTGTACACTGCTGCAAGCGGACGCCGACGGGTGAGATCAGGTGATCGCGTTCGAATCTCGCCAGCGCAAGGCTGCGGAGAAGAAGTACTCAGTCCACGACATGAAATTACTTACGATGAAGTGTGCATTTGTCAAGTTCAGGGTGCACCTGCTG